TCCCCCCACCTCTCTCTCTCTCTCTATCTCCATCTGCCATCTGTCTCTCTTGAGTTGTCCGTCTTCTCTCTCTGACTCTTCCCCCTTTTTCCGTCCCTCTCTCCCTGTCTCTGTGTCCGTCTTGGTCCCCCACTTTGACCACCGCCCACTCCTCTCTCGGCAGGGGTCTGCTGGGCCGGCCAGGCTGGCGGGACTCAGAGCTGCTGAGGCAGTGCCGTGGCTCGGAGCAGGTGCTCTGGGGGCTGCCCTGCTCCTGGGTGCAGGTGCCTGCCCATGAGTGGGGCCACGCAGAGGAGCTGGCCAAGGTGGTGCGTGGCCGCATCCTGCAGGAGCAGGCCCGCCTCGTGTGGGTGGAGCGCGGCAGCAGCAGAGGCTGCCCCGGCAGCAGTGAGGCCTGAGGTTCATCTGATACCTGCAGCTTCTTCCCAATTCAGGGGGGACCCTGGTGTCTGCGGTGCAGCTGGGCCCTCCCACCCTGAGCCTTCCTAGACCCTTGGACTCTCAGACACACGGCCCTTGGCTCTGGCATCTCACCCCCAAGACTGTCTCTGGCCCTGCCGAGCCTGCAGGAGCCCCGGGACAGAGCGCCCATTCCCCTCTACTTGCTGCTCTGGGCCTCCCCACATGTCCCGGGGTCTCCACATTCCCACTAGTGGGTCTCACATGTGTGTCTGTGTCTTCTCCTTAAACACTCACCCTGGAGTCTGTTCTCACACCTGTGCACAGGTTTGCACACTCAAGTTCTCACGGGCAGGCTCAGGTCTGTCCCGCTGCCCTGGGCACGAGATCTCCCGAGGACCTGGGCCTGTTCTGCTCCCAGGAGCGCCGAGCCTGTTACCGCATGACTCCTGCCATCCAGCTCAGGTTCCTCATGGATTCAGCCATGCATGGACTGGGGGCTTCCCTGGCCCACGGTGCCCCTCGTGTCTCCTCACATGGGTGTCTGTGGTTCTCTCCTGTGTAAATGTCACGCCCCACCCCGTTTCATGTGGGCCCTAACACGCGTGCGTTCCTGGTGGGCACACGCAGGACCGTGCCTCACAGGGCCCACTCCCTGCCTATGCCTCCCTCTTGTGGGGCCGGGGAGGGCGGCTGCTCTGTCATGAGAATGTACGGCCCGTGGGTGATTAACGGGCCTTTTTCACTCAGAAGCTGCACATTATGGAACATTAAACACTTTTGTCATAGATGCTGGTGGCCTTCTGCTCACTTGTATCCCTGGCCTGGGCCCCCGCCACTCTCCTTATTTGTCTCCCAGCTCAGGTGGATACCACCTTTCAGGTCCCCGCTTGCCCGTTGGGAGGGTCGGATTTCCCGCCTGCCTCTTCCCAGGGCCGCCTGCCATCTGTGCTGGCGTCACCTTACCTGCCCCTGAATGACCAGAGTAGGGCCCCACAGATGGGCCACCCCAGTGCTCAGCCCTGCACACAGCTGACCATCAGAGGAGTGTCCCCCGGAGTGGAGCACCAAAACTGGCAGGGTGTGGCCTCAGACTGAAGGGACCTGGCTGCTGAGCCCAGGAGCTCAAGAGCAAACCTTCGGTATGCACGCAAGTTCTTGAGACAGCTCTACTGGAGAGAGGATGGTTGCTCCCACTGGGAGCAATCCAGGCAGCCTTACTGGAGGAGGTGCCATTTGAGCTTGGGAGTTGGGATTCCTTCCTTCCAGAACCACTTATTGAACCTCTGTGTCCAAGTGCAGGTGACTGTCCTCAGCCACAGTGAGGAGCCTGGGCAGGCCCCTGGGGCTTAGGGTGTGGGTGTACTAACTACGTAGGGTAGCCTCAAGGGCAGAAGCTCAGAGGCAGCACAGGGGTTGGATCTGGCCACCTTGGATGGGGTCGGAAATGAGTTTGGGAAGGGTAAGTCCAGTGGTGGGGGGTTGGGAGCACAGGGGAGCTTCAGCTGTGCCCTGGAGGCTGTGGGAGCCTCTGGGGATGCGGGAGCAGGGTTGTGGGAGTTGACGCAGAGAGGGCTGAGGCCGAAGGGGGGCAGGGGCAGTGGAGGAGAGAGGAGCAGACAGGAAGGAGGGGCTCTGTGGCCTCCAGGGATGGGTCTGGATCTCCATGTGTGACAAGAAAAATGCTTAAGAAGGGGTCAGGGCTGAGGGGCAGGGGCCTTGGAGGAGAGAGGAGCAGACAGGAAGGAGGGGCTCTGTGGCCTCCAGGGATGGGTCTGGGTCTCCATGTGTGACAAGAAAAATGCTTAAGAAGGGGTCAGGGCTGGGGATTTGGGGCGGTGGGTGGAGAAGGGAATGGAGAAGCTGAGAGAAGCTGAGATTGGGGTGTGGATTTGGGGGCCACGGCTCCATCTTTAGTGGGAGGAGACAAGGAGTGGGTGTAGAGGAGAGGTGGTGAAGGTCTCAGAGACTGGACCACGCAGGATGACGGTGCCTGGGTATGGAGGCCAGGGTGGACGGTGGGCCCAGGCTGTCCCGGGAACCCAGAGAGGCTTTCCCAGGATGGAGTACAGGCTGCGCAGGGCACTGTAGTTTGGTTGAAAACCAAAGCTCTGGTCAGCCAGGTGACCCTGGCAACTCGGATGACCTCTCTGGGCCCAGGGCCCCACCCCGTGAAGTGGAGGCCACGATGGTAGAGTGAGCGTGGAGGTATGGATTGGCCACGGCTCGGTGAGCACGTGTGGCTGGGGCTGAGCCATTGCTTGGGAAACAGCTCTTCCCACTCTCTCCACGACAGGGTGTCTTTAACAAGGTGCAGATTGGACCTTGAGGCCTGCCAGTCTGTCACCACTGGGGTAGGGGCTGGAGAGTTGGACCCTGAGTGGCAAAGGCAGTGCCGTGGGGGAAGGGCAGCCTCCCTGCATGGGAGTCAGTGGCAATGCCCCTTTCCACTCCAGGCCTTCCCAGGTGTTGACCCTCCCATCCCCCCAGCCTCGTCCTCTCTACCTCAGGCGGTGGCAGTGGGCTTTCAATTTACCCTTAGCTGTGCTCCTCTGCTCATCTGACACTTGCCTGGGCTGCTCTCCCTGCCTGAATCTTCCTGAACTTTGAAGCCTGGTTGAGATACTACCTCCATGAAGCCCACCACCAGGTCCTCCCAGCCCTTGGGACTTCTCCTGGGCCATGCCATGTTCTGCCTTGTGGCAGGACGAGGGCATCTGTATGGCTGTCTCTCAACGTCTGTGGCTCCCTGGGCATGGAAACTGGGCTGTGCGCATTTGGGTACATGAACCTCCCCCTGCCCCACAGTGAGCCTGGCCCAGTGCTTGGCCTGGGGACATGCAGGGGCCCTGTGACTTGGCTGCCTTTGCCTGTTACCCTTTCTATGAGGTGGAGAAGCGCACTCATCCTGTAATCGTTGCCAAATCATATTTTTGTCCCCATTTTAGAAATGATGAAGGTAACTTGCCTAGAGTCACACAGCCAGTGAGTGGCCCAGTTGGGATTTTTTTTTTCTTTCTGAGACGGAGTTTTACTCTTGTTGCCCAGGCTGGAGTGCAGTAGTAACATCTCGGCTCACTGCAACCTCCGCCTCCCTGGTTCAAGTGGTTCTCCTGCCTCAGCCTCCCTCCTAGCTGGGATTACAGGCGCCTGCCACAATGCCTGGCTAATTTTTGTAGTTTTGGTAGAGACGGGGTTTCACCATGTTGGTTAGGCTCATCTTAAACTCCCGACCTCAAGTGATCTGCCTGCCTCAGCCTCCCAAAGTGCTGGGATTACAGGCGTGAGCCACAGCGCCCAGCCCCCAGTCAGGATTTGAACTTGGTCTGTGGAGCACAGAGCCTGGGATCATCACTAAGGCTGGCATCATCACCATTCTGAGAATATGGCCTGTGAAGGGGCCTGGCTGGGGGCTGGCCCATGAGAGGGTGATTCAAAGGGTTGGTTTTCCTTTCCTCTCCCCAAGCTGTCCTCATGCAGGGTTGAGCCCAGCAGGGCCAGTTTACTTCGCCAGCCACCTGGTACTTTGTTGTGTTGAATTAACATTGATTGAGTTATTGTCTGCCAAGCACTGTTCTAGGCACTGGGGATTAGGGACTCAGTGATCAAAAAAGAAATCCTGCCCTGATATTCTTATGGGGAGGACTGACAATAAGTAAATTAAACATACAGAATGTTGGAAGATGAAAAGCGTGATGGAGAAAACAGTGAAGAAGTGGCTTGGGAGGGACAGGCCTAGGGGGCTGGGAAGAAGGCGGCAAGGGTTGCAGTGTTAACAACATGGTCAGGGAAGGCCTCACAGAGATGGTGACCTTTGTGTAAAAACCAGAAGGGAGTGGGGGAGTGAGACGTGCAGGTCTCTAGGGAGGGGCCCAGGTGGGAACAGCAAGTGCCAAGGTCCTGTGGCGGCCGCATGCCTGGGCCAGCCGGGATCCCAGGGGTCTGGAGTGGAGTAGCAGGAGATGGGGTGGGAGTAACTTGGGGGCCAGCTCACACAGGGCCTTGTGGGCTGCTGTGTGCTTTTTGGCTTTTGTTCTGAAGAAAATGGGAGCCAGTGCAGGCCTTGAGTGGAGGAGGGAGGAGGTGTGAGTGAGCTTGTGCGAGACATGATGGAGGTGGTGGCTGGAGAAGGCCCTCTGTCTGTCCACTGGCTGGATGCTGGGAGAGAGGCAGCTCCAGAGACTGCGGAGTGAAGTCAGGTATGGGCTGGGGCACAGCTGGACAGGTGCCCTCAGGGGACCTCCTGTGAACCCGAAGAGGACCAGAGACCTGGGTTCCACCAGCTCTGCGGCTGAGTTGCTGGATTGTTTTTGTTCATTCTGTACCTTTGTGCCTTATGTCCTCAGCTATAAACTGGGAATGACAGTCCTAGTGCTGTTGTGAAGACCACAGGAACTGAGCAAACAACTGTGGAAGCCCCAAAGGTTAAGAGGTTATCACGGAGGGCTTCCTGGAGAAGGGAACCCTTAAGCTTTGAAGTCCAGATAGAATTCAGCCTAGCGGAGGGAATGTGGGTGAGACTGGTGGAAGATGGGAGAGCATCCCGGAGGAAACTGGCGAGCAAAAGCTGGGGGCTGGATGAAGCAGGACACCAAAGTAATGGGTGTTGAATGGGCCAAGCTGACAGCTCTCTGCAGGAGTGGACGGTGCTGGAGGACCCTCTCTTCCACCAGGCACGGAGGGTTTGCTGTGACTTCCTCCCACCGCAGCAGCTGGCAGAGCCGGGGCTGCCCCTTCTGCTGGTGCCTCCTTTCAGCCGCGTCTGTCTGGGGTTCCCTTCGTCTGGCCCCGCCCCTCGGGCTGAGCGGGGCGGGGCCGGGCGGTCCCGGAGGCTGCGGCAGGCCGGACAGCGGGAGCAGGTGGAGGGCTGGCGGCGGTCGAGATCGTGCTGCCATGGCTCAGCCTCTGGGTTCAGAGCCTCAGCTCCTACCTCTTCCCTCCTTGCCAGCCCCTGATGTCTGCCAGACTTTTGCCTCTGCCGGAGCCCCTGCCTGACCAGCTTCCCCTCCCTGTCTGGTTGGGATTTGGGGGCTGAGCTGTCTGGGGTCCCAGGGCCAACCAATGCAGTGCCGGCTCCCGCGGGGCCTGGCTGGAGCCCTCCTCACCCTCCTGTGCATGGGGCTCCTGTGTCTGCGGTACCACTTGAACCTGTCCCCGCAGCGGGTGCAGGAGACCCCCGAGCTGAGCCAGCCGAGCCCGGGGCCCCCTGAGCTGCAGCTACACGATGTCTTCATCGCAGTGAAGACGACCCGGGCCTTCCACCGCTTGCGCCTGGAGCTGCTGCTTGACACGTGGGTTTCCAGGACCAGGGAACAGGTGACAAGTGGGTGACATTGGGCCCTGGGAGTGTCCCCTGGCCTAAGGGGTTCTCAGAGGCCTTTCTACTGGGCTGGGGTCCCTGACTGCCTCATGGGAGAAGCTGCCGGCTACCTGCCTAATCTGGGACCCTCTTCCCCTCTCCTTATTCCCAGCTTCAGGGGCTGCCTGTGGTCCTGCCTGTGCCCTGTACTGGTCCTGACTCCAGGTCCATCCAGGTCCCTCCACTCCACCACTTTTGGGGGCCAGGCTGGGCCCCTGCTCCAGGCTCCCGGGTCCTTCCTGAGGGTCCTTCTATTCCTAGCTGCTCCCGTGAGGGCTTCACCCCCAGCCACCCAGACCCAGCCTGGCATCGGGGGTAATGGTGGATGTTGGGCAGCTGGGGTGGAGGCTTCCAAGAGGTCCTGACCCTGACCCGTGCCCAGGCCAGGCTGTTCCACCCAGGCCTTAGGTGCTGTCCTGCCCAGGCTCTGAGGGTGGGGGACTGGGGGAGAATCTCTAGGTGGGGTCTGTTCTTGGAGGAGGCATCCCTTCAGGCTTCCCGACAGCCCCTCCTGCTGTGCCTCTGCTGCCCTGGGTGTGCCGAGGCTGCCATGTCTGGTCTCCTGCGCTGGCTTCCTGTGGGCTGCTTCCGAGGCAGGGAAGGAGAGCGCATGCCACAAGGGTGGTGCCTGAGGCAGTGGTGGGCAGTAGGTCGGGGAGGCCTTAGTGAGGCAGTAGGTGGGATTGTGTGTGTGTGTACGCATGCTCACACGCACGGAGCTGGAGTGTGCTAGATGTGCGTGACAAGAGGCGTGTCTGTCACATGGCTGCATGGCTCCGGCAAGCCAAGTCCCTTCCAGCCTTTCCCCTCCTCGCATCCAGTATCTTCCTTAAGCAAAGTCACTGATGTCGGGTGTTAGGGACCGTTGATGGGGGAGGTGGAAAACGGGTACACACACACACACACACACACACACACACACACACACACATCCGTCCCCTCTTTGGCGGCTGGCTCAGTGGGAGGAAGTGACTGAGTCTTTGGAGATAGTTGAGGCCTCCTGGAAGACCAAAAGGAGGGGGAGAGGATGGCTGGCAGAGGCCAGGCCCTCCCGGGGAGGGGCACCCTGCCCTGATTTCTGCCCTTATACTCAGGATTAACTCTTCCCCAGCTGGCCCCCAGCACCCCAGCTCTTCTCTGGGCCCCACACGGCTTCTCATCTTGGGGAGATCCTGGTTCTTCCTGCGGAAGCCGCCAAGGCGGGCCCTCCCGCAGGCCTTCCTGTTTATGCGTCTGTGTACCCGGGAGCGTGGCCTCACGTGGCCCACGGCCCTTTCCTGTCTTGTCTCCATCACTGCGGTGCTGCCCTTGCCCCGGATGAGGAAACTGAGGCCAGAGAGGAGGAAGTGCTGGCTGGCGTGGTGTCACGCAGAAGGCCTGAGGGGGCAGTGCCCAGTGGGACCTAGAACCTTGCTCCTGGCTGGGTGCTTTTCTTCCCTGCTGAGACTTGGGAGCCCTGTGAGGCCTGGGTCACTGGGCTACAGGAGAGGGTCCTTGGCCTTCAGCCTGGGCGGCTGTGCCTGGCAGTACCAGGCCAGGAGAGGCAGGCAAGAACATCCCCTTCCCTGTCCCAAGCTCGATCCCACATGCGAATCAGGCAGTGGGGTGGGAGTGGGGGTGCTGGCAGCTCTGCCGCCGCTCAGGGCTGTAGATCAGGCGAGTTGCTTGTTTCCCCCTCACAGTAAGCCCCAGAGATCGGCTGTGATGACCGTGATGTTCCCGCCTTACAGTGCAAACACTGAGCAGGGTTCGGCCGAGGTGGGAGATGAATCCACTCAGCTGGACCCAAGGGGCGAGGGGCAGACTCTAGAAATCTTGTCCTTGAAGTTGAAAGAAGGAAGGATGCTGAGATAGAGGAGGAGGTGGGAGGACAGGGAGGCCCTCGCTCGCTACCCCACATCTCTCACCCTTTGGCTCACTTCTGTCTGTGACCTCGGCCAAGGCCCTCCCCTTTCAGCCTGCAGTTTCCCCGTCTGCACAGGGCGGGAATGTCCAGACCGGGCCTGAGCTGGTTAACTGCAGCGCTGGGCGCCTGCCTGGCTGGTTAAGGGCGGTCGGGTGGCAGGTGGGCCTTGTGGCAGGGGCCGGGACTCGTGTGCTGGCCTTTGTCCTGGGCTGAGGGGTGGGCTGGGGGAGGCGGGTTTTGTGCTCAAGGGGAGCCTTTCTCCTCCCTATGGTCCCCTCGTTGGGGGGAGATGTGGCAGCAGCCCCACACCTCCCGTCGTCTGCAGCAGATGGTCCCCGGCCACCCCTCCCCTGCCCTAGCAGCCTGCGTATCCCTTTGTTTCCCGTGGCTGCCTATGAAGTTTTCCCCATTGTCAGGTCTCCTCCTTAAACAAGTCAAATACAGCCCTTGGCTCCGAGGAAACTCTGCCCATTGCTCTGTGCCAACCTTAGGATTCCCAGGGACTGAAAGCACCAGCCTCACTGCCCTCTCCCATGCCCCCGCCCCCTCTGGACCTGGACTCGCCTTCCCGCCTCCCTCCCTCACTCTGCTCAAGGCTGCTGTGTTTTGCTTAGTTTTGTTTTTGTTTTTGTTTTTTTTGAGGAGTCTCACTCTGTTGCCCAGGCTGGAGTGTAGTGGCGTGATCCCGGCTCACTGCAACCTCCTTCTCCTGGTTTCAATCAATCCTCAGCTTCCTGAATAGCTGGGACTACAAGCATGTGCACCACGCCTGGCTAATTTTTCTATTTTTAGTAGAGATGGGGTGTTGCCATGTTGGCCAGGCTGGTCTTGAACTCCTGGCCTCAGGTGATCTGCTCGCCTTGGCCTCCCAAAGTGCCTATTCTGCTTTATTCAGGTTACTAGATCTTCACCCGGAAACGGTCCTCAGCCCATTTGGCCCATGCTCCAAGCTTGAGAGTGCTTCACTATCTGGTGGCTGTTTGGTGGCAAAAGTTTGCCGAGGGCAGGGCAGGAAAGGCCTGGCTTCTTTTATAGGATCCCTTGAGGCTGTGTTGAAAACAGTCTTGGGGTGGGAGCAGAACAGAGCAGGGAGGCCAGGGAGGAGGGCCTGGGGCAAAGCAGGCAGCAGGTGACGACAGTGGCCAGTGGAGGGGACCCGGGCGGGTGGCCGGGGCGGGCTGGAGGGAAGAGCAGCGTCCCAGACTATTTGGAGGCTGGTGAGCCGAATTGATGATAGGCTCGGGGGGAGGTGTGAGAGGAAGAGAGGAGGAGCAGAGAGTCTGAGGTTTTGGGTTCCAACCAGTGAGAGGGAGGAGCAGGTCTTGGGGAGCACGGGGGCTCAGTCTTGATGCGTTCAGCCCCCAGGAGACGTTGTGGTTTCAGGGGATTTGACAGTTTGGAGCTCAGGGAGAGGCTAGGGCTGGTGCTGTCCACGAGTCTCCAGCTCCCTGATGGTGTTTAAAGCTGAGAGGCTGCATGGCGTCACTGATGGAGTGGGCTTCATGGAGAAGCGGACCAGGGCCTAGGCTGGGACCACCAACATTTCCCCCTGCGGAAATCCGGAGACCTCCAGCATTTGCTAAATCTGACGGTGGGAGACAGACCCCAGGGAGAGAGGCTCAGAGGGTGGACGCTGCCCAGGCCTTCCCGAGGAGGGCCAGGTGCCGGAACAAGGAGACAAATTGGATCCAGCCTGTGGCCTCCAGGATGCCATTGTTTGGTGGAAGAGACGGAGAGATAAATTTCTGTAACCAGGGAGTTTTGCTAACTGCTGTTAGTGACAGGAGGAACAGAGGGCTGAGGAACACATAGCAGGGGCCCCTAAAGTAGCTGCAGGGGTGTCAGGGAAGGCTTCCCGGGGGAGGTGATGCCTGAGCTGGGAGCTAGAGGGTGGAAAGAGGGCACAGCATGTGCAGAGGATCAGAGGTGTGGGCCCGTGCGTGCGTGTGTGTGAGACAGAGAGAGAGAGAGAGAGAGAGAGAGAGACCGAGAGAGAGAGAAGCCCCAAGAGTGGGCAGGAAGTAATGAGATCAGACTACATCAGGCAGGCTGGCCAGGTGGCCCCTCACTGGCCACAGGGAGGCTGGCCTTTATCCCAAGGGTGGTAGGGAGCCATGGAAGGTGTTAGTGGCTGGTGGTGGAGGTGGATGTTATCCGATTCTGGTCCTGGCAGGAAAACATATCTGAGGGATAGAGGCAGAGTCTTGCAATAGTCCAGTGAGAGGTGATAGTCGTTCAGAAGCAGGGCTGTGGCCATGGGCCTTGGGAGACAGCCTGGCTCTCTCCTGCCCCTTCCTGTGTCAAACCTGGCTCCTGGCCTCTTGGCCTCCTATGCCTCAGTTTCTCCTGAAATACAAGTAGATGAGCCTGACTTCACTGTCAACTCTTCCTTGCTCTTTTACACACAATCTTGTTTTATTCTCACAGCCACTACTCACAGCCATCTACCCCTTTTGTAGATGGGTAAACTGAGGCTCAAGGCGGGGACTGTTCTGATCTGAAGGGCTAATTCCTGGAAAGAAGGGAGGGGATTGTGGGTAAGCAGAGGGGAGCATTGCAATTGGAGGCCCTGAGCTTTGAGGGAGGATAGGGCTAAGCCACGAGTGTGGCCCCAGTGGGGGCTGAGAGAGTCTGGGGGCTTTAAAGAGGTGGGGCACTTGGAAAGGGTCCAGAATTGTCCTGAGTCCTGGGCCAGGCAGTCCCAGGGCTGGGGAGGCCCTCAAAGGCCCTTGAGGTGCTCACTGAGTGAGAGGACCCACTTGGGCAGCTGAGAAGCTCTGCCTATGTTGGGCCGGGCGTGAAATGGGAAGGACACCAGTCCCCAGCCTGGCTCGTCTTTGTCCCCAGCCTGGCTTGTCTTTGTCGCATCCATGTGCTTCCTCTACCTCTCATTCAGAGTTTGGGTTTGGATTATGTAGGAGCTGAGCAGCTTTCGCTGCCTGGGAGGCGGCGGGGAGAGGTCCGTGGGTTCGAATGTCAGCCTGGCACTTGCCAACCCTGGTCCATCGCTCAGCCTCCTTTTCGTCGTCTGGGAAGCGAACAGATGAAAACACCTGCCTTGTGAGATTTGAGGGTCGCTGGGGGCAGGTGCATGTCCAATCTGGGAGAGCTGGACTGGGCTGTGAGGCGGCATTTCCGAGATGGCTTTCACAGGGGGTTTGTGTGGCTGTGAAGGTATGACGTCTCCCTAGTGGCACGGTGTCCCAGGGCGTGGGTGTGGGTCTGTTCACATACAGTTTGTGTCCTGATAATGGGTTTAAGGTTGTGTTACGTGACTGTGGAGGAGCCGAGTGCAGCTGTGTGTGTGTGCGTGTGTGTGTGCGTGTGCGTGTGTGTGCGCGTGTGTGTGCGTGTGTGTGTGCGTGCGCGTGTGCGTGCGTGTGTGCGTGTGTGCGTGTGTGTGCGTGCGCGTGTGTGTGCGCGTGTGTGTGTGCGTGTGTGTGTGTGTGAGAGAGAGATAGAAAAGGGTGAGATGCTGCCCAGGTGTGTGCTTGTGGTTGGGTCCCTGTGGCTGCTCTGGAAAGGGGGCGAGGGTATGTGTTTAGACTGTGGGCTGTGTACACCCTGAAGTTGTGTGTCTACAAAGGCTGAGTTGTATGTGTTGTATGTTGTCCTGAAGCAGCGTGTGACCATGAGAGGGGTGTGTGTGTCACTGAAGGAGTACAGAGTCCATCTGGGGCCTGGTGTTGGTGGGTTGTGGATTGGTCTGGGGTGTCGCTTGGGCCGACGTGAGTCCTGACCCCTTCTTCTCCTTCCTAGACATTCGTCTTCACCGACAGCCCAGACAAAGGCCTCCAGGAGAGACTGGGTAACTCTGCCTTGCCTGGGTGGGGGTCTTTAACTGTTGCCCAGGAAAGCTGGGGTGGCTGTGTCCTGGCCTGAGGATTTCCAGGAAATGGGCTGCCCACCCTTGGCATGTGGGGATCCCCCTTTGCCCAGGAGGGAAGTGGGCCTCTTCCCTGGAAACTGGTGTGGGCATGGGTAGGGGAGGAGCTGTGCTGGACAAGGCCCTGGACACCTGAGTCCCAGTCCAGCCTGCTGTCCACTAGCTCTGTGGTCCTGGGCAGGTCTGCCTTCCTGGGGCCTCAGTGTTACCATGTGTAAAATGGGAGTGGGTGGGCCGCTCCATGCTCCCTGTAGTCCAGCCTTGCTCTGTATTCTGTGTTCAGGGCTGCAAAGCGGGGAGCTGGACAGGGTCCCCTGACTCCCCCTCACTTCTCCAGGGTCCCACCTTGTGGTCACCAACTGCTCCGCGGAACACAGCCACCCAGCTCTGTCCTGCAAGATGGCTGCTGAGTTCGACACCTTCTTGGCCAGTGGGCTTAGGCGAGTGTTCCTGGGTCTCTGGGGATAGGTGTGATCTGGGCTCAGTGAAAATAACCCGTGGGCCTCCTGGGGTCTGACTTCAGCCCCTACTCCCCTAGCAGGCAGTGGGCAGATGAAGTCCAGCTGGGTTCCAGTCCTGCCATTCAGGATTGGATATGTGACCTTGGGAAAATGACTTTTTTTTTTTTTGAGATAGTTTCACTCTTGTCGCCCAGGCTGGAGTGCAATGGTACGGTCTCGGCTCATTGAAACCTCCGCCTCCTGGATTCAAGCGATTCTCCTGCCTCAGCCAACCGAGTAGCTGGGATGACAGATGCCCACCATCACGCCTGGCTAACTTTTGTAATTTTAGTAGAGATGGGGGTTTCACCATGTTGGCCAGGCTGGTCTCGAACTCCCGACCTCAGGTGATTCACCCGCCTCGGCCTCCTAAAGTGCTGGGCTTACAGGCGTGAGCCACCACACCTGGCCAGGGCGAGTGTCTTAACCTCTTAGTCTTGGTCCTCAACTGTGAAGTGGGTACCCTCCTCACGAGCTTACACAATATGCAACTTGGCACAAAACAGATGCCTTAAATGTCAGCCTCCCCCACCCCTACCCCCATTCTGTCACTGTTGACCGACTGTGGGGGTGCTTGGGGACCCTGGCTTGGAACTCCCCACCCCGCAACAAGTTCACTCTCCCCGTTTCATCCCTACAGGTGGTTCTGCCACGTGGATGATGACAACTATGTGAACCCAAGAGCGCTGTTGCAGCTGCTGAGAGCCTTCCCACTGGACAGCGACGTCTACGTGGGAAGGCCCAGCCTGAACCGGCCCATCCACGCCTCAGAGCCACAGCCCCACAACCGCACGGTGGGTCCCTCTCCTCCTCCTTTGCCTCTTGGCCCATTGGTCCCAGGGCCGGGCCAGTCCCAGGGGTGGGGGTGTGCTAGAGAGGTGCGAGGGGTTCTGGGTTCCGGGTTTGGCCCCATGTGGGTTTGGCACCTGTAGTCCCAACTTCTTGGGAGGCTGAGAGAGAGAATCGCTTGAACCCGGGAGGCAGAGGTTGCAGTGAGCTGAGATGGCGACATTGCACTTCAACCTGGGTGGCAGAGCGAGACTCCATCTCAAAAAAAAAAAAAAAAAATTTGCTGGAATACTGTGGGGCTGGGTGATCAATTGCTGCTGCCTGAGCCCCAGAACCCTTCCCCCACTTCCCCTCCCTGGGCACCCTCTCTCTCCAGACATCTCCACTAGCCTGTGACTGAAGAGTTGACACCTGGCACAACAGGGGGCTCCATACCCACCTCAGTTTCTGACCTGGATGGATGCTGATTCGGGTTGCCAGATTCATTAAACAAATAAATGAAAAACCACTACATCCAGTTAAACTTCACTTTCAAATAAATAATGAGGAATTTTTTAGTATAAGTATGTCCCAAATATTGCATGGTTCTTTCCCTGTCCCCAGGACCCACTGGATATCAGGTGTTAGAGTGGTCCAGACCCTAGGGCTCCCTTGGCCCAAGGAAAAAGGCAGGTCGGGAGGTCCCTCTCTAGAGGCAGTGCCTGGTGCAGGAGCTGGGCACACAGCGGGGCTCAACCTCCCTTCTCAGGTCACCATCTGCTTCATTAGGAAAAAAACAAGAGCAGAAAACACAAAACCTTAATTATCAGTAGCTAATCAGCCTCTGAGCCTTAATTAAATTCTTCTGGGCCCTGGGGCTCTGTGTGTGAGTGATTCCAGGGGAGCCAGGGGGTCCCCCAGGCTCCCATACCACTTCACTACTGGCCACTCACCTCTGCCTAAGCCATTTGCCTCTGGGGTGGAGAACTGCGTGCTGGAGCCTGACTCCCTGGGTTTACACGGCAGCCCTGCCATCTCCTGGCTTTGTGACCTTGATGAAGTCACCTCACCTCTCTGTGCCTCAGTTTCCTAATCTGTGAAATGGGTAATAATAGCCCGTACTCAAAGAGTGGTTGTGAACATAGAAGAAAGAATGAAATGAGGTCATCTATCCAAGTCCTTGGAATGAGACCTGGCACAAAGTCAACACTAGAAAGTGTTAGTGATCTGAGGCCAGGCGCAGTGGCTCATGTCTGTGATCCCAGCACTTTGGGAGGCCGAGGTGGATGAATCACCTGAGGTCAGGAGTTTGAGACCAGCCTGGCCAGCCAACATATAGTGAAACCCCATCTCTACTAAAAAATACAAAAATTAGTTGGGCGTGGTGACGCACGCCTATAGTCCCAGCTACTTGGGAAGCGGAGGCAGGAGAATTGCTTGAACCTGGGAGACGGAGGCTGCAGTGAGCCGAGATCGCAACACTACACTTACACTTGAGCCTGGGCAACAGAGCAAGACTCTGTCTCTGAAAAAAAAAAAAAGAAAGAAAGTGTTAGTGATCTGTATTGGACACAGTCTGACCTTCATTTCCCAGCCACATCTTTCCTCTGTACACTCAGGCCCCGTCAACCTAGGCCCACCTCTGTGGCCCAGGAGAGCAGGTGCAGTGTTTGGCAGCCCCTCCCAAGCCACATGCAGTGAGGTAGAGACCTTTCTCAGGGGAAATGGGCACAGTGGCCTTTTAGTAGAGACAGGGTTTCACCATGTTGGCCAGGCTGGTCTCGAACTCCTGACCTCAAGTGATTCACCCACCTCAGCCTCCCAAAGAAAGTGCTGGGATTACAGGCATGAGCCACCTAAACAGAGTCTTGCAGGATGGGCTGGAGTCAGCCAATGCTTAGGGGAGAGAGGAACAGAGTCCCAGGCAAGGACTTCAACTGACCGCACACACCCCATTAATACCGCTGACCTGGATGCCTGGCCAAGGGGCAAGTGGGTAAACCAGTACTCGTCCCCTTTAACTGGAATCCAGCTGGACTTGAGTCTGATCAGTGACCTCATCACTCCTAATTAACTATGTGACTTCGGGCCTCTGTTTTCTTATCTATAGAATGGGCACAGTAGTGCCAGGCCGTAGCAAGATTCTAGTGAGATTCAAAATAAAGAGCTTTTGAGCCATGCGGGTTGGGAGTGAAGGGTGGCCTGGCTGTCCCTTTCCCCCACAAATCCCACCAGGCTCACTCTGCCCCTTGGCCTCCTCTCCCTCAGAGGCTGGTACAGTTCTGGTTCGCCACCGGGGGTGCTGGCTTCTGCATCAATCGCAAACTGGCTTTGAAGATGGCTCCGTGGGCCAGGTAAGCAGAGACCCCGAGGCGGGCAGGAAGGCAGGGAGGGGGTGGCGGCTGGGATACAGGAGGGGCCTTGGCAGCAGGAAGGGCTTTGAGAGTGAGTTCAGGAGAAGCTGCTCCTCATTCATGTGTGTCACAGTGCGGCAGTTAGTGGCGAGCAAACCACCTGCCACCTGCCCTTGGGGCTGCGCGGCCGAGTGCATGACTTGCCACACACAGGTGAGTCATATCATCTCCAAGAGCCCCAGTCCCTCTGTCTGTCCATGGGCCTGATAATACAATGGCCAGTGGTGTGGTAAGGGTTCAATGAGAAAATGTCTGGACTGGCCCTGGTAGGTGCTATTTGCTACCCTTTTCTGACCGGTCAGTGCCGTAGGGGAGGCGAAGGCCGAATGTAAGGGCCTTCAGAGGAGGGAGAAGGGCCTTCTGGTCGAGGGCAGAAGGGAAGACTTCCAGGAAGAGGTGGTATTTGAGCTGGGTCAGCCCCATGTACACTACACTGGGCCATCTAAGGGAGATGATGTTACTCCTAATATCACAGTGGGTGTACACCCTGTGATATTACTCATCATACCATCGAAGGGAGATGATATCACTCCTAATATCATGAGGGGATCTCGGGGGTAGTGGAGGCCGCAGTGTGGGTGGGGGTGGGACACTGGTATTCCAGAAGTGGCAAGGCCTGGCCTCCGGAGGTCTTTCCGGGCTGTTGTTATTATTAACACCATCAGCGGCCACTCTCTTGTATTGAGGCTGACTCTGAGCCAGCTCTGTGCTCCATCAACAGGATCACAACGCCTCAGGGAGAAGGTGGCCTTAGCCTTGTGTTTCTAGATCTCAGGCGACTGAGGCGCTGAGATGAAGCCAGTCTGAGGTCAGCCAGGTTCAAGGTCACTCAGCTGCTGGGTTTGGCTCCAAGGTCTGCAAGCCTTGCTACTACCCAAGCCTGCCCTGCCTTGCCTGGCTGGGAGGGGACCCCCAGGACACGAGCGGCCTCACTGTCCTGGGGCCTGTCCACAGAGCTGTGTGTGTACACATGACCAGGGTCATCCCTGTGCCTGGGATGCCCCCACCCAGGCTTCTGCCAACCTCTAAATTACCTTTGTGTGAATTAGAAAAAGGCCACTGCCTCCAAATCCTGCAGGTGCAGCTTGAGGGCTCGCAGGCTGGGGAGGGGAGTACAGGCTGGATTTCTGCACCCATTTGCCCCTTGGCCAAGCATCCAGGGCGGCAGCATAAATGGGGTGTGTGCGGCCAGTTGAAGTCCTTGCCTGGGACTCTGTTCCTCTCTTCCCTCAGCACTGGCTGACTCCAGCCCATCCTGCAAGACTGCTTAGGTGACTCATGCCTGTAATCCCAGCACTTTGGGAGGTTGAGGTGGGTGAATCACTTGAGGTCAGGAGTTTGAGACCAGCCTGGCCAACATGGTGAAACCCCGTCTCTACTAAAAATACAAAAATTAGCCGGGTGTGGCGGCGGGCTCAGGAGGCTGAGGCAGGAGAATTGCTTAAACCCGGGAGGTGGAAGTTGCAGTGAGCCGAGATTGCACCACTGCACTCCAGCCTGGGCA